GTTGATGATAGTGTTGTTTTGTTTGTTTGATGAGTCTGGAACAGGGTACTTGAGAGCATTAAGTTCAACTTTTCTAAGAGCAGCTTTACCCAAATCAATACCACAACTATTAGAAAGTTGTACCAAATATAGTAAAACATCAGAAAGCTCTTCTCCCAAGTGTATTTTTTCTTCTTCTTTCCAGTCAGGTATACCTATTGGTACTTCTCCTTTCCACTGAAAGCATTCAGATAACTCTCCTACTTCACCCACCTTCATTCAAAACAAATGGAATAATTACCAAAACTAGATTTTAGTAACACACACAGTTAAATATTAAGAAACATTTATGATTTCTCATGCCTTTCTACTTTTCTAGGCAAAAATAAAAAACCCCCGATATATCAGTATATATCGGTATCAGCTACACCGAAAAACACCCGGAATATATATGATTCCAGTTTGTTTTTTATGTAAAACAACAAGAACAAGGTTTTAAATCAATCAATAAGAAATGGGTTTGATCTAAAATCATCAATAGATATTTAAAAAATCAATTTTTTTTTCATTTGTGATGTTTAGAAAATATGTTGGTTCATTGAAAGATTAGGTTTAACTTACAAGTGCCAAAAGAAGATTACGAGGGGTATGGTATTGTTCCCAGTTTCTTTCCCTTGCGAAATTAGCCATTATCTTTCTCAGATCTTCAAGAGAAACATTTTTCTTCTCTGCAACTCCACTCATGTTGATGTCGAAGAAGAAGTAGAACAACAAGAAAAAAAAAATAATAACGAGGGGAATGTTGAGGGTGCGCAGGATAATAAATAGGTGGGGAAAACGGAATAAAGAAGGGAGAAGTGGTCGGCCACTCTTCTATTCTATTGACTATTCCTTTCCATATCAAAAGAAAAAGTTGGCATTATCAATTTTCTTTTGATATGGCATAAAAGGAAAATGGAAACAAATATGTGTGAAGAAAATGGAAAGAAATCAACTAATCAAGTCAAGCATGGAAAATTGGAAACAACAGGTAAAGGTGACTAGGTGAGTTGCAAGCCAAGAAAATTAATTGGTAATGGCTAATGAATAACGAGCATTCCATTTGTTTTGCTTGGGGTGCAAATCTAGCATAAGTGAGCTATCTTGTGGAACACTAGAGAGTAGAACCAAACTGAATTAGACCCCAGCTTTCAAAGGCCACTACCCCAAAGAAAAGAATTGGAAGATAAAAAAAAAATCCTATAAAGTTTAAACAAGTGTGATTTAACAGTTTTATGTCAGACATTCAGCATGAATTTCACATGGGGATATTGTTTAGAAGATGACCTACCAACTAACATCTTTGCTACTGGAGGGCATTGAGAATTATTGAGTATGTAACATCTTTTGATCCAACGGTGAGTATTAAATTATGGCTACATCGTTGCTTGGGTGCACGCAACCTTAGCCTAAAATAATACTATTATCACATGATCGCATTATATTGGTATTTGGAAATACTTTCTTTTGTGGAAAATGGAAATTGGAAAACGTGAGCTTTAATCGTTGAGTTGGAAATGCATTTCACGCAAACTTCATGCTTCCCTACCATGAGCAACGAGTTGTACATTTACACTTACTACTGTTTCACTGGCAATTGTTACTTAAAACACCATTTTAGCTGACAAGTGCCAAGATTAGATTATATGTTTGACACAGTGTTGTGGACAGGCGAATTCTACTTAAAATACTATGGGACGGTGCTGTTTATGATTAGGCTTGGAATTAGGGAATAAAGAAGAAGAAAGAAAGTCAAGAAACCACTTATTAATCAACCATTTTTATGTGATGTCTTATTCATCTGGTCCTAGTTTCTATCTTTCTTTATCTACAATGGTATTCTTGTTCTCTTCTCTTCATGCCTTTTACTAAAATATATACTTTTTAATTGGCTGCCCATGATCATATATTTTCTCATAAACAAAGAAATATATTATCCAATAAACAAAGTAAATATATTTACTCTTCAAAATAATGTAAGATTCCTCATTAGTTCCATCCTACTCTGTTGGTATTTTGTCTGTCAGGTTATGTCATGGTTGTGTAACAGTCTTAGTGATAGCGAATTCGATACATCATCTTGAACCTTTAGTCGTCAGGTTTTACTGATTCATCAACATCAAAAGCTCTAACCTGATCTAACAGAATATAAAATGGAGAGCACACTCATATCTAAGATCTTAAGTCTTAACTATTTACAGTTGATAGATATTATAGTTAGATTATCAATATAAATAGGCCAATATTTTCATTTTGAGTCAATCTTGCCAGATTAAGTTTTGACATAGATGTACACTGAATAGCCAGATATGCCCCATGGATTATGTGGAACTTGGAAAGATGTTATATGAACCTCAGTCTGTCTGCTACTTCAAGCCATTTCACAAATTCTCGTGGGACAACAACTAACAGATCATATCTCTTTAATATTCAATACATAAGCAAAATTTATGTTCCAATTTCTATGGTATTCATAGGTATAAGAAGCTTTTGAGAGTTTACTGTTCTGAAAGATTTCTCTAGGTTGGGACAGTACAGTGCTCACCTGTAGTTCAATTCCTCACTATTGGACAGTATTTATTAATTTTCCCCAGGTAAACATTGCAGTGTAAAAACTAAAACGACAAATTTGAATTGCAGGATATTTACTTGGGAATTCTCAAAATAACTGCCTATTGAATTTGCTAAAATCTAAAATAACCACATAACTTCCTCTTACGTGGGAAAAATGGTGCTGCTACAACCATGTAGATACCCGATTGCTTGAAAGTTTGAAATTTTAAGGTTTTCTTAAAGCGGAGGC